GCACGCTTGTGTCTTCACAGCAGGGAAAGATTCCAGGTGGCCACTGAATTTGAAAAAGGGCTGCCGAAGTTCCCAGGGCTGCTGTTGTCTCTGCCAGATACACCGCTGCGTTCCTACTCGCTGAGCAAAGAATAGCCACCGGAGGGGTTGCGGGAGGGGAGGAGTAAGCAACAGTTGCTCCTGGCCGCTGAGGGGAGGGGGAAGGAGTAAGCAGCATTGCTTCCAGCTGGTAGTACTAAACCCTTCCCCCCCCCCATCCCCCTGGAAATGGCGCCCCTGGTGACAGCAAGGAGGAGGGAGACGTGCAGAAGGGAGTGGGACGACTCAGACCAGATTGCCCAGTTTTTGTGCCTGAACCATTTGCAGGGGCTGAGGGGTGGTTGGAGCACCTAGACAGAGCTAAATCAGATTAACTCCACTTAAATTCTGAAGAAGAGCATCCACACAGGGGTTTAATGCGGTTTAACTAATCCACTTTAAAAGGTAATTGGGATTAACTTTCTTGAGAGTCTCCGTGTAGAACAGCTGTAGGTTCGTGTTTTCTAGCTTCTTTTTACAGCCATAAGGGTGAGGAACTGGCTTTTATTTAAAAATGAAAGCTGAGATTCTCATTTAATCCCATGTTTCAGAGGAACAGCCGTGTTAGTCTGTATTCGCAAAAAGAAAAGGAGTACTTGTGGCACCTTAGAGACTAACCAATTTATTTGAGCATGAGCTTTCGTGAGCTACAGCTCACTTCATCAGATGTATACCGTGGAAACTGCAGCAGACTTTATATACACACCGAGAATATGAAACAATACCTCCTCCCACCCCACTGTCCTGCTGGTAATAGCTTATCTAAAGTGATCAACAGGTGGGCCATTTCCAGCACAAAGCCAGGTTTTCTCACCCTCCACCCCCCCACACAAATTCACTCTCCTGCTGCTGCTAGCCCATCCAAAGTGACAACTCTTTACACGATATGTAAAGAGTTGTCACTTTGGATGGGCTAGCACCAGCAGGAGAGTGAATTTGTGTGGGGGGGTGGAGGGTGAGAAAACCTGGCTTTGTGCTGGAAATGGCCCACCTGTTGATCACTTTAGATAAGCTATTACCAGCAGGACAGTGGGGTGGGAGGAGGTATTGTTTCATATTCTCTGTGCGTATATAAAGTCTGCTGCAGTTTCCACGGTATACATCTGATGAAGTGAGCTGTAGCTCACAAAAGCTCATGCTCAAATAAATTGGTTAGTCTCTAAGGTGCCACAAGTACTCCTTTTCTTTATTTAATCCCATATAACTCCAGGAGTTGGCGTGTTAAGAAAAACATCAAATATTGCGACACGCCTGATAAAATCCCACAAGCTGGCAACACTGTGTAATCCTGCTGCTGTGTGTTATAAACCTGCTGCCATGTGCTCCTAGCTATTGAGGGGCTATTGTGACTAAGTGTTCATGTTTGGGACCCTTATTGTTAGCTTGTGGGGCCCAGTTGAGCAGTTTGTACCTTGGGGATTTATTTCTAACTAGCCAGTTCTCGCAGTGTGGGACTGGATCGGAGCCTGAGACCCCTATAAGGAAAAAGCCCTGTATCCCAGTGCCCTGAGCCCCCCAAACCACACTGAAGTTTCATTTCTGGCTGACACTGGAGGGTTGAAGCCCTGGCTCTCTGGTCTCTGTTTTTAGCTGAGGCTGGCATGAGATTACTTGCTGGGTAGGGGTGTCAAGATGTTGTCAGGATTTAGGGGAACAGAACCAGAGTGGGAGAATTTTTTTTTCCTGTTGAGAAACCAGCCCTTTCCTTATGCTGACTTTCAGAACAATCTGTTGTGGGGATGGTCACAGGGATATTACGTGGGTGGTAATTGCAGGGGAGGTGTCTGTGAGATAATCTGTCTGTTACAGTCAGCTCCTGAAGTGAGCTGTAGCTCACGAAAGCTTATGCTCAAATAAATTGGTTAGTCTCTAAGGTGCCACAAGTGCTCCTTTTCTCCACAGGATGGAGAAGTTCATGAAACCTGATGTAGAGTTCAAAAACAAGACAAATTTTTACAGTTGCATTTATTGCTTTGGCCGGTAGATGGCGGCATTAATGTGTGTCTGGAAAAAATAGAGAGCCACGGTAGGGGAGGTAATATCATAGAATCATAGAATATCAGGGTTGGAAGGGACCTCAGGAGGTCATCTAGTCCAACCCCCTGCTCAAAGCAGGACCAATCCCCAACTAAATCATCCCAGCCAGGGCTTTGTCAAGCCTGACTTTTAAAAGCTTCAAAGGAAGGAGATTCCACCATCTCCCTAGGTAACACATTCCAGTGCTTCACCACCCTCCTGGTGAAAAAGTTTTTCCTAATATCCAACCTAAACCTCCCCCACTGCAACTTGAGACCATTACTCCTCACTCTGTCATCTGCTACAACTGAGACCATTGTTTGTTGGACAAACTTCTGTTGGTGGGAGAGAAGCTTTTGAGCTTGCACAGAGCTCTTCTTCAGGTCTGGGCATGGAAACACATGGAAACAATAGGTAAGGTAGACTTTTGCAATGGGATTGTTGCAAAGCCCCATCTACTGGGTGGGAAGTGCCTTCACCTGGAAAAGGCTGAAGAGGTCAGAGATGAAACATTACCAGGATTTTCTTCTTATCTCTGCTCCCCTATTTTAAGAATTGTGTATTGTCTATAAACCCCACAATGGACCTTGGTGCCACCATTGACGTTCCCAGATCTGAAATGCAGCTAAGTGTGTATCGCTGAAGGCCCTGTATAGACATTAGACATCCCAGGGGGGCATGTGTCCTTCCAGTGGTGGGAAAGACCCCAGCACCCTACATAGGTTAGCCCTGACTGCATTTTGCCATTATTATTTATATAAAAGGACTCCACAGAGACCCCAGCCAAGGTCAGGGCCCCTTTGCTCTGCGTGCTGCACAGACACTAAGGCCTGGTCTGAATGGGGAAAATTGACCAGCAGAACCACACTGGTCTACCTAACCCACTAGAGCTATCCCGAGATAACTCCCCATGGGGGCGCTTTTATTCCAGTATATGAGGGGCATTGTCCAGTTTAGCTTATGTCACTTTGAAAATGGTGTAAACGAACCCTGACCAAGGCTCTCTGATTCTGGAATAAAAGTGTCCCCATGGAGAGTTATCCCGGGATAACTGCAGTGATTTAATGACGCCAGTGTAATTCTTCTGGTCCGTTTCCCTGAGAGACAGCCTCTCCCCGGAAGAGTTCCCAAACTAAGGGAGAGATATTCAGAAGCACCTGAAGGACTTAGGAGCACCAGGCAGTGAGCACAGTCACACACTTGTGCTCCTAAATCCCTTAGGGGCTTTGAAAATTCTCCCTTTAGACAAGGCAGAATGATTGTCCCCATTTCAAAGATGGAGAGCTGAGGCCCAGAGACAGGAAGTGACAGGCCCAAGGACTCTGTAGCAGAGCTGGAACTTGAATCTCAATCTCCCAGAAGTTCCGCCTTAACAACTAGCTCATCCTCCTCTTCTAAATTTACAGCCTCTCTGCAGGAGGGACTAGTTGTGCAGAAGAAAGGAGCTGCGCTGGGCTGTCTGGCTGGGGCAGTTCGTGATAGGGTAAGAACTTGGCCTGGCCCTGGCCTGGCTGGGAGTGAGCAGAGGTCTGCAGGCTGCAGGGCAGAGTGACTGACAGCGTCCCAACGGGGGAGAGGAGGAGGGACTGACGGAGGCTGCAGGAATTACCTGGGCAAAGACAGTTACTGCAGGGGACTGTTGTGCAGCACTGACCAATGGTGTCTCCCCAACACCCCCTCAGAGCTGGGCACTGGTATCTCCCCAGGCCCCTCCCCGCCCCCACCTCCTGCTCACAGCTGGTCAATGGGGTTCTCCCATTCCCAGGCCTCTAGTTCCCATGGTGCTGCTCCTCCCCCGAGGAGTCTCCTCCAGCCCCGCAGGCTTGGGCAGGCCTCCAGCATGAAGGTGATGAGGGGCGCAGACACCAGGAGGAGCAGGACCAGGGTGCAGAGAGTGGCCCAGATGACGAGGGACATGGCCGGCCCTGCAACATGGAAAGGGACATCATGAGAGCCATGTGCAAAGCAGTGTGTGGGCTGCCGTGCCCGCACTAGTCACAGAGCAGCTGCCCTGTAGCAGAGACCCCGTGTGAGCTCCCGGAGGCCTAGATCTAAGGGAGAATCATGCTGCAGGGGGCACGTTCCCCTGACGGGAGATCTAAGTCATGGAGGCTGTTGGGAGGCCCCTCCCTTTGCCCAGCACAGCCCTGAGGGGTTGGAGGAGCAGGGAATGGCCCAGGTTTGCTCAAGCTGCACCGGGATTCTGTGCAAAGGCCTCACAAGAGCCAGCGACGGACGCAGCAGCCCAGACCCTGTCGCCCCTCTCCAGCGTGGCTGGCAGTTCCTGTGAGGTGACCTTGCCTTGGAAGAGGGGCAGCACGAGGTCTTGGCACCAGCTGTGTCCTCAGGCAAGGGTGGACGTGGGATGTAAGCGTTGTCGGGGGCATGGCGGTGGGTGTAACAGGCCAGAGGAGACTAAGCTTTCCCAAGTAACCATCCTGCCACCTTTGGATAGAGTTGCCAACTTTCTAATCGCACAAAACCAAACACCTTTGCCCCTTCCCTGAGGCCCGCCCCTACTCATTCCATCCCCCCTCCCTCTGTCGCTTGCTCTCCCCCACCCTCACTCACTTTCACTGTGCTGGGGCACGGCGTTAAGGTGCAGGAGGGGTGAGGGCTCCGGCTGGGGGTGTGGGCTCTGGGGTGGGGCCGGGGATGAGGGGTTTGGGGTGCAGGAGTGCTCTGGACTGGGGCCAAGGGGTTTGGAGTGTGAGAACCGGCTCAGGGCTGGGGGTTGGAGTGCGGAAGGCAGTGCAGGGTGCAGGCTCGGGGAGGGGGCTTAGGGCAGTGGCCGGGAGTTGGGGTGCAGGCTCGGGGAGGGAGTTAGGGTGCAGGAGGGGGTTCCGAGCTGGGGCTGGGGGTTGGGGTGTGGGTAGGGGTTCAGGCTCCAGCTGGGCAGCGCTTACCTCAGGTGGCTCCCGGTTGGTGGTGCAGTGGGGCTAAGGCAGTTTCCGTATCTGTCCTGGCTCCGCACAGCTCTCGGAAGCAGCCAGCGTGTCCGCCTCCTAGGCACAGGGCTGGCCAGGTGCCAGCTCTGCAGCTCCCATTAATCGTAGTTCCTGCCCAATGGGAGCTGTGGAGACGGCACTCGGGGCGGGGGCAGCATGCGGAGCCTCTCTGATTGCACCTGCACCTAGGGGCTGCAGGATGCTGGCAGCTGCCGGGAGCCGCACGGAGCCAGGAGAGGCAGGAAGCCTGCCTTAGCCCCGCTGCACCACTGACCAGACTTTTAACGGCCCAGCCAGCGGTGCTGACCGGAGCTGCCAGGGTCCCTTTTCGACTGGGTGTTCCAGTCTAAAACTGGACACCTGGCAACCCTACCTTTGGCATGTGCTGTTGCCGAAAGGATGCCCAGGCCCTGGCCCTGCCAGCACTCCTCCTGGAGACCCAGCTCCCACTCATCCTCTTCCCTCTGAGACCCTAACCCTAACCCGTCCCCACTCTGCCCGCCTGGGGGCCTTGGGGGAGAGGGTGAAGAGGCACAAGTGGTGGGCGGGGGAGCCTTGGGGGAAAAGACGTGAGAGGTAGGCAGGGGAGGCCTCGGGAGAAGAGAGGCAGATGGGGGGTAGGTTTGCCAACCCTCACGGTTTCACCGGGAGTCTCCGAGAATCGGGCTCTATCTCCCAGAGGCTATGGAAGCCAAACTGGGAGATTTTAGGCCACTAAAAGTCCAGCGGCACAGTGGGGCTAAGGCAGGCACCCTGAGGCCCCTGGAGGGGGGCAGGGGTCTCTGCACGCAGCCCCCGCCCTGAGCACTGACTCCGCAGCTCCCATTGGCCAGGAACTGCAGCCAATGGGAGCTGCAGGGCCGGTGCCTGCAGGCAGGGGCAGCACGTGGAGTCCCCTACCACCTTCAGGGGCCACAGGGATGTGCCGGCCACTTCTGGGAGCAGCCCGGGGCCAGGACTGGCAGGGACCCTGCCTTAGTCCTGCTGCACTGCCGACCGGGAGCCACCCAAGGTAAGCAATGACCGGTCAGAACCCGCACCCCGAACCCTCCACTGCACACCAAGCCCCTGCCGCAGCCCTACGCCCCCTCCCGGAACCAGCAGCCCAAGCCCCCTCCCACACCCCAACCCTTTGCCCCAGCCCTGAGCCTCCGCCACTCCCAAACTCCCTCCCAGAGCCAGCACACCTCACCCCCTCCTGCACCCCAACCCCCTGCCCCAGCCCGGTGAAAGAGAGTGAGGATGGAGGAGAGTGAGCGACGGAGGGAGGTGGGATGGAGTGAGCGGGGCAGGGCCTTAGCAAAGGGGCGGTGTGGGGGTGGGGCCTTGGGGAAGAGGGGCAAAGGTGTTTGGGTTTGCGTGATTAGACAGTTTGGCAACCCTAGTGGGGGAGCTTTGGGGGAAGAGGCACGAGAGGCAGATGGGGGTGGGGGCAGAGTGGGGCCGGGGGTGGAGTGTGGGCGGGGCTTTCGGGAGAGGTAGCCAAGTGGGGGCAGGCCTCAGGCCGGGGCCACAGGCCAGATGCGCCCACCTCTCCAAACGATTGAGTCACGCCCCGCCCATGCTGTGGAGCTGTGCGGCCCCTCTGCCCTGGGGGAATTGCCCAGCCCATCTGGGGTGACTGCGCTGCAGGCCAGGGAGTTACCTGCCCCCTGGGTGAGTTTGACCCAGACTTTATGTCCTGAGGTCAGAGCTGGGGGCACAGAGCTGGGGTCTGATAATCAGGATGTGACAGAGCAAAACCTCTTATCTGTGCGGGTCGGGTCCTACGCTGCTGCTCACGCTGCCTGTGGGTCAAGGGCAAAGAGAATTGCACCATGCGGGAGAGACGCCTGCAGCCTCACTGGGGCCAGATCCCCAGTGGGTGTAAATCAGCATCACCCTATTAGAGTCACTGTGGCCAGTTCCCCAGTGGGTGTAAATCAGCATCACCCTACTGGAGTCAGTGGGTCAGATGATCCCCAGCAGGTGTAAACTGGCATCTCTCCATTGGACTCCATAGGGCTCTGCCAGTTTACACCCGCCGAGGAGCTGGTCCCTGGACTCTCTCTCTTGCTCTGAGTTTCTGTCACAGAGTCCCCGGGCGATGCTCTGGAACTGCTCCCTACGAAGCCAGGCAGGACTCTGGGGAAGTCTCCTTTCTGTGAGCAGACTGTCTTCAGGACACACAGCTCATACAACTGCCACCTTCCTGGATCTGACCTCGGAGCATTCAGCATCCTCTGCCCCTCCGTGAGCTTCCCACAGCAAGTCCACCCAGGCGGGGTCCTGGGGAAGCCAGAGGGTCCTGCACCCCAACTTCGCAGTCAGACGTGACTCTCAGCCAGCCAGTAAAACAGAGGTTTATTAGACGACAGGAACACGGTCTAAAACAGAGTTTGTAGGTGCAGAGAACAGGACCCCTCAGCTGGGTCCATTTTGGGGGGCAGTGAGCCAGACAACCAGGTCTGCCCTTCACTCCCCAGCCAGCCCCAAACAGAAACTCTCTCCAGCCCCTCCTCCTCTGGGCCTTGTCCCTTTCCTGGGCCAGGAGGGCACCTGATTCCTTTGTTCTCCAACCCTTTAGCTCTCACCTCGCAGGGGGGAAGGGCCAGGCCATCAGTTGCCAGGAAACAGGGTGTTGGCCCGTCTCTGTGTCCAGACCTCTGCACACTCCTGCCTTCTAAGGCTCTGCAACAATCATACACCCTTATCCCACCACCTAGATACTTAAGAACTGCATGGGGGAAACTGAGGCACCCCCACAATATTCAGAGGAAACATTAAGAACAGTCCTGCTTCATCACAGTTTCATACTGAGTTTTCCCACTGCAGACTTCAGTGTGGACATCACTGTCCATTTAAAAACTGTCATTTCATTGAGCTCTGAGCCAGGATTTCCCGGCCCCCCCAATCAGACGCACTTGTCTGTGGAGCACCCGCGGAGATCTGAATGTGCTGGAGACCCCTGCACCCTTCAGACAGCCTGAGGCTCGCCCGGGGTTGTGTCATGAAGCTGTGTGCATGGGCGACAATCCCCAGCCGCCCCTGTGCCTGGGGCAGCACCAGGCCCAGACCCTGCTCACGCCCAGTGCTGAGGGTTCAATGCTGAGGTCGTTGGCAGCACCAGCCCTGGGCAGAGTTTGGGAAGGGCCCAGCAGAGGCCACTAGTGGCTCCCACGGCTCTGTGTTGCTCTCCGGGTGGGTGCTAAGCGCTGTGGGGAACAGGGAGCAGCGACAGGGGCTCCTGGCTCTCACTGGGTCCCCCAGGTTCACCAGGCCCCTGTGTCGCGATATCTGGGACCTTCAGGTCCGACCTGCTACCTGCCCACAGCCCCCCCTGCCCCTCAGGCCCCCTCCCTGCCTGGCAGTGCCCACTGTGGGTCTGGGCTCTGGCCAGGGAGCTGACACTGACCCCCAGTGAGAGAGCCAGGCTGGGCAGGCAGGGCCCGGGCTGCCCCCAGAGGAGCCGTCTCTGCCCCCAACCTGCACAGAACGAGTCAATTGCCTCCAGGAGAAGAGCAGCAGCCGCCTGCCCTCCAGGTCTCTGGCACAGCTGATCGTCCCGCACAGCAGCATCCTCTGCCACCCCCAGCTTCGCCCAGCTACCCCGCAGGCCCAGGCCCCCATACTCCCATCCTGTTAGCCAGCACGTCTGCCCCTAGGGGCAGCAGCCTGCCTGGTTCATGGGCACCTGGTTAAATACCAGCCTGACGCTTCCTGCCTCCTCCTCTCCTGCCCTGCCCCTTATCCGCCCCAGCCACAGTGGCTCAGGCCCCGCTGCACAGCAGCCCCGAACCGGCTCCATGCCCACGTACAGCTCAGAGTGCTCCGGACTGCAGCTTTTCTGCCATCCCAGCTGAGCCTGTCCCAGTGCATGCTGGGAGAATGGGGGCAGCTCCGATCCCAGATGGGGGGCACATGCACACAGAGTGGCACCAGCAGCACCTGCTGGGCAGAGAGCCTGGGCCTCCTGTCAGCCCTGAGAGCTGGCAGGGGGAACGGCGAGGCAGAGAGCCCTGTGCCAGCCTAGGCTGATGGCAGGGACAATGCACCAAGCCTGAGTCATGCCCAAGCTGGCACAAGGACTGCAGGGAAAGGGGCTGCCCCTCTGTCAGATGGGGCTTCTGGCCCCAGAGCCTGCTAGAACCACCCCTCCAGGGCCATCCAGCCAGAGACGAGCTCCTGGGGGTGCTGCATGGCCTGGGGGTGACTCCTGCTGGGGCCAGTGGGTTTGCTGCCGTAACCCAGTGGGGAGAGAGTGTCCAGGTCCCCACTGTGCCGAGCCGCAGGGCACAGGAGCTGTTACAGCCCCACATGTAGAGCACGGGCTCAGCTCACGCCAGCGCCCTGGTCAAGCCTTGGGGCAGGGTCCGTGGGGCTCACCAATAGCTGGTAACCCTGTCTCTGACGTGAGCCAGGGACACGTTCAGAGACAGCTGGGGAGCCAGCAGGGGCCCTGGTGGGAGATGCGGGAGTGAGAGCCTGGCCAGGGAGCTACAGAGAAACCAGAGTCAGACTAGTATCTCGGCTGCAGCTGGTGTAGACATACCCGGCCTAGCTAGTTCCCATAGCACAGAGTGCACATCCAGACAGGTTAGCCTGGGGAGCACTTACCAGGGAGCGGGAACCCGAGCTATCTGGCTCAGTTATGTCTACATGAGCTGCAATCACTGCACACAACTGCAAAATAGACAGATCCAAAGCAGGCTGTCAGGAAGGGGGCAGATCCTCGGGCGGAGGGGTAAAGACCACATGGGGGGCGATGGGGAGACCCTGAATGTGGGGAGAGGGGAGAGTCTCAGCCTCCACATCACAACACCAGTGAGTGTCTGGCTAGTTTTGAAGCCAACCGCAGGATTTCAGGGCCTCCCTCCTGCCCTGTGAGTGCCGCGGGGCTGGCGACAAGGCGTATGCTGATAGGGGTGTGCCCTGGTGGGGACCAGCAGGTAGATCCCCTGGTGGCAGGTGGGGGATTCCCACACCGCATGCAGTCCAGGGGATTTCCCAGCAGGGCAGAGCTTCTAAGCCAGACACCAATTCCCAGACTGGGGGGAGGTTCCCCCTCTGGAG